TTTGCCTGTGATACTATGATTCTCTCCATGATTCATTAATTGTTCCACATACTTTGTACACCGTTGTTTTAATCATTTATGTAATGCCCTTCTGTGCTGTACACTGTTTGTCCCCTTAGGGTCCTTTTGTTTGCTTGGAGGGGGACTTAGGCTCTGCCTCACCTCAACACAGAACACAGGTTGGGGTAAAAGTTACCACATTATCTCAGGCTTGCACTTAAAGATTGGGAAGAGCCCTATAAGCCTAAAAGGCCACATGACAATGTGCTTCAGTCGTCCCCTTGAGAGCTGAACCGGATAGCCAAAGACGGGTAAGAGGAGATCTCACTGATAGCGACCTAAGGCAGGCTGGCAGCCAAAGCAGCTGTTTGTTTGCCCATGACGGGTAAGCATCAGAAGAGGATCTCCCAACCTAATTCACAAAGAGCTTCTTTCAATGAGAGAAATCTCACAATCTAACTTTTCTGGAGTGCTTTCTTCACTTGATACAAGGCCAAGACATTTCCCCGGGGAGCCCTGGTCATGTCAGAGGTGGCTCAGAGTTTGGTGAAAAGAGATCTGGGTTTAGTGGCTAGATAGTCATTTTATTACGTTTTCCATTCAGCCAGCCAGGGGCTTATCTTTAACTGCATTTTGCTCCAGCATTGGCCAAGAAACAAGGGAACGTGTGGGCCGCATGCAAATTTCACATAAGCCTGTGCTCCCGAATCCTCCCTGGGATCCTCAGAGGTCTGTTTTTATGTCGGGGGATAAGTAGCCTGTCACATGACCATTACTGTAGCAGTTGTGTGTGTTTGTGACTTGACCCAAGTCAAGTGGTTTTGCTATAGCATCTGAGCCAGTGGGGGAGTGGGCTGAGATAGAGCCCGCCAGAAGAATCTCTGGGGATGTCAGCACCTCAGCACTTTCTCATTTTAACACTTAATCCATAAAAAGGAAACTCCAAGGGTGATTCTGCTACTTGCAGAACTGAAAAAATCAAAATAGACCTCTCTCATATTGTAAAAAATTCTTTCAAATAAAATTCCAAAGATACAATTCGGCCTTGAACTACAACCAAGACTTAAACATGAGCTCAGCAAAACAGCCTGGAGATCAATCAATCATGTATGCTACATGTGTCAGTAAATATGCCAACAATAATAAAAAACTTAGGTGTGGGCTTCAAAAGCCAGTGTTTCTTATATTAAACTCCCCGTAGCACTTTGGAATTGAGTTGAATCCCAACATAAAGCAGTTTGCCTATTTATAGGATTCCTTCAGAAACTCTTCGGCTGGGGTGAAATGTGTCCCATATGTGTGCTAACCCAAATGCGTTTCCGTGAAGCTTGTGTTTTCTTTTAGCGCCATTTTTTAGTTAATGAATGTTTCAAGGGACAGTTTTCCAAGTTCTTCTTACACTTCCCCAGGCCAAGGCTGTGAGGAAATCCTTCACCACCATGTATGAACAAGTGTAGTTCAGATCACAAAGGAAGCAGGAAATCCATTCATGTGCTAGATTCCATCACTCCCAAGCCAAGTAACCCCTGACCTACGCAGGCTCTTCCTAATCTGATATCTAGTTATGACAGCCATAGATCAAGAGAGGGACTGTAAAATGACAGATACTGAAGGACATTAACAAGCACACACAGAGATACATGCACACACAGTCTTTTTTCAGGCTATGCCCTGAGAGAATTCTTGTGTGTGTGTGTGTGTGTGTGTGTGTGTGTGTATCTGTGTGTATGTCTGTGTAACACCACCCATGCAGCACAGGCTAATAACTCCTAAAAGCAGACTAGGTGCCACTCTATAAATCTATCAAAGTAAATTGAGACTGTAGGCTCACATGCGTGTACTAAAATCATAACAGAAAGCCCAGGCCTGAGAACTAAGGAAAGAATGCAACTCCCTCACCTGGACCCCGTAGAGAGGAGGACATCAAACACTGCAACAGCAATGGCCTCACCAGCCTGTCATCTGACCACCTGGTATGAGTTTCAAAGGACTAACAGAGAACTCCCAACTGTCCCAGCGGCTTCAGCTCAGCTTGGTTCCTGCTGGTGACACAGCCTACTCGAATTGCTGTCTGTTCATCTGCTTGTTCCTCCATCTGGACCAGCCTCCACCCAGCTATTCATCTGCCTGGCGCTGACCTTCCCTTCTTCAACCTCCACCACACCTCATTTCTATAGCCCAACTCTGACCACTGACTGACAACAGTATACTCCACCCCCTTCAGCAGAGACATTCTGAATCTCTTCCCATGTCTATCAGTTTCCCTGTCTCTCAGGCCTCTTTGAAATCCCTTGACTCCTGCTGTGGCATTTTTAATGCTTTGTAGCCAACTCATAACCTACACCCATACAGACAGATTTACTGTATAATGTGCAATGCATGATCTGAGAGTTAATGTTAGTAATTAAGATTAGAATAAAATTAAAACTTTGTAACTGGGTCTGGAGAGATGGCTCAGTGGTTAAGAGCACTGGCTGCTCTTGCAGAGGACTTAGGTTCGATTCTCAGTACCCACATGGTGGTTAACAACTGTCTGTAACTTCAGTTCCAGGAAATCTGATGCCCTTTTCTGACCTCCATGGGCATTGTATGACACAGGTGCACTTAACACACATGTAGGCAATACACTCATACATATAAAACAATAAATAGTAAATAACTTTTTTAAAAGTACCTGAGTTTGCCTCAACCAGCAGAACTACTTAGCAAACTGGTGTCGATGAAATTGGAATTCACTGTCACTCAATAAATTCTGACGCTGTGGGAAGACCCAAGCATATTTGTTTCTGTCACAGCACACAACAGTGAAGCTTGACCCAGCTCCTTGGAGAACATTGGTGGGAATGGCCTCTTGCTAATTAGTGTTCCTCAGGCTCCATTCTCCTGTTCAAGACCTTTTCCCCTTAATTCAGTTCAACACCACCATGTCCCATCAATATGATAATTTGGTTCCCTGGTGGGGTGACCCCCAGACACCGCCCCCAGGAGCAGGGAGAAGAAACTGGACCATGGGAAAACTGCATTTTAAAGGTTGATTTTTATTTTATGCTTACGAGTGCTTTGCCTGCATTTGTGTAAGCACACCAGGTGTGTACAGCGCCTGTGAGGTCAGAAGAGGGCATCAGATCCCCTGGAACTGGAGTTACCGACAGATGTGGCCTATATACATTCTTATGTGAAAGAGTTTGAAAGTGCTTAATCAAGACTAGTATTGGGAACTGAATTCATCCCAGTGCAAAGCACCATCCACATTTTTGCCCGAGGCAATGGGATGCTGCTGAGAGTCAGCCATCAGGTTTATATTTCACTCTGGAAAAGGGGTAGCAACAGCGGCATTCCACAAAGGACGCTGTTCCCGGCACAGTCCTCTGTCTTTTTGCTGGGTGTTCTGCCAGTAATTTCCTCTGATGTCCCACTGGCCATTCCTAGAGGCAGGAGACACTGGGTAGGTGACCTGTTAGCCCAGAACATTGCTTCATAGGAATATTAGGATTCTGTAAGGAAGAGAATATAAAAGTTGAGTAGGTGACTGGTACTCTCTGCCACTGCCTACTAGACTAGAGATGTAGCTCAGTTGGCAGAGAGCTTGCCCGGCATGCGCAAGTCCTGGGTTCCATCTCCAATGATGTATACACTAGATGTGGTGGCACACACCTATAATCCCAGCACTCAAGAAGTAGAGGTAGGAGGATCACAAGTTCAAGGCCAGACTTAGGTTCATAGCAAGTTCAAGACCAGCAAGGGCTACATAGTGAGACCCCACCTCTAAACAAATAAACAATGACAAACCTTAAAACCAGGGCTAGAAAGATGGCTCAGTGGTTAAGAGCAGATACCACGGAGGACCCATTGTCAGGTAGCTCACAACCGTCTGTGACTCCAACTCTAGGGGATCCAACACCCTCTTCTGGTCTCTCTGGGAACTGTACTCACATGCGCAAACACAAACACAGATACACACATATACCCATAATTTAAATAAACATATAAACTAATATCAACCAGGTTTGGCAGTACACTCCTCTAATCTCAGAAAATAAACAACAACAAAACCCTCAAACCACCCATTGCCTTAGTTCCTGCAATTGTTTTTGCTGTTACTGTTTGGTTGATTTAACTCAGACTGCCCTGGAACGCACAGCGATCCTCCTGTTTTAGCCTCTCTGGTGCTTTGGATGCAGGCATGTGCCACCATGCCCAGCTTGCAATTGGTTTTATGCTCTTTTGAGGAAGAGCACCTTTTGAGATCTTTTTTTAAAAAAAGGTCCCAGCACTCAGGAGGCAGAGCCAAGAGGCTCTCTCTGAGATCAAGGCTAACTTGGTCTACATATGGAGTTCCAGATTAACAAACAAAAATTGATGTTTACTTATGTATATATGTGTGTTTGAGTCTGTGTCCCTGAGTATAGGTGTCTTTGGAGGTTAGAAAAGAAAGCCAATCCCTTGGACTGGAGTTATGAGTGGCTGTGAGCTGCCCAGTGTGCCTGCTGGGAGCTGAACTTGGTTCTCTTTTTTTGTTGTTGTTGCCGGGTCTCCTTGTAGCCCCAGCTGTCCTGGAACTCACTAGACTTGAACTCACAGAGATCCACCTGTCTCTGCCTCCCAAGTGCTGGGATTAAAGGCCTGTGCCACCACACCTGGCTTGAACTTGGTTGTCTTAAAGAGGTCCGCTTAGCCGCTGAGCCATCTCTCCAGCCCCAGCCTTTTGAGGTCTGTATTCTCTCCTTCGTAAATGAAAATCTCTCTCATCCATATGTCTTTCCGAGATCTTGTGAGTCTGCCTCTAAGTTTCTAACAAGCACCCAGATATGCTTCCACAGGACTTTTCAAGGCTGTTACCTTCCTTCTACCCTGCCAATCCCAGAATCCCCAGAGAGGAGCAAAGAGAGGGCAGATAACAGTCCGTTTTCCTGGGCACTGACATGTTATGTCCCTGATCCCACTGCATCTGACTTGGCTATGGCAAGGCTGCTGTGACAGATACTATCTCTCCCAGTGGAGAGAGAAAAGTGTCACACACGCTTGTGAGCCAGGAAAAGCTATCAACTTCCTGAGCAGAAGCCTTACAATTAAAGTAGACGTTATCTAGAGGAAAGTGGCTCCAAAGCTAAGTTTGGGAGAACATTCTATCCGGGATCTGGCCTTCCTACTAACATTATCACTTTACTTTTTATTTTTGAGATAAGGTCTCTAGCTCAGACTGGCCTCCAACTTGGGACTATCCCTCTGCCCCCTCCTAAGGGCTAGGTTTAAAGGTGTGTGCTACCTTGCTTGACTTTTCTTTTTAAAAAAAATTTTAGGTTTATTTATTTTTATTTTATGTCTATGAGTGTTTTGCCTGCATGTATGTAAATGCACCCTGCACCCTGGGGGCAGTCAGAAGAGTATTGGATCCCCTGGAACTGGAGTTATGGACCATTGATAGCCACCATGTGGGTGCTGGGAACTGAACCCAGGTCCTCTCCAAGAGCAGCCAGTGATCTGAACCACTGAGCCTTCTCCCCAGTTGCCCGCCTGCCCCACCTGCTGTTTTTGAGTCAGGGTCTCAATTTGTAGCCCGGAACTCACAGTAATCTTCCAGCCTCAGCCTCCTGAGTGCTGGGATTACAGACATGCACCACCGCACCCAGACTTAATTCTACCATCTGAAATAAATCTTCCCATCTCTGGCCCTCCTTTTCCCCAGCTATTAAACGGGGCCAATAATACCTTTATCGAGAGAAAATAGAAATAATGTATGCGAAACAGCTGCGGCAGAACCAGCCTTCAAGAGTTGGAAGTTGTGCGTTTGCGGAAGAACTTTTCATTTTATTTGTTCCGAGACATGGTTTCAGGTAGCCCAGGCTGGCCTTGACTTTGTGGTCCTGCTGCCTCCACCGCCCCAGGGCTGGGCCCACTGAGCGCGCCCCACGTCGGATTGCAGGTCTTTCTCAGCAGAGGCCCCGGCACCGTCTGTGGCTCCGCGGAGCGCCCGGGGAAGGTTCCTCCGAGTGGAGCGCGTCTGGCCACCTGCCCCGGCCCGGCCCCGGCTCCGCGGAGGCCCCGCTCTTCCGGCATTTCAGGCGCGCGGCCGGCGGCTGCAGCTCCGGCAGGTTCAGTGTCGGGCGGGGACGCACGGAGCAGGATGGGCTGCAGACACAGCAGGAGCGCGGAGAAGGTACCGGGCGCCCGGGAGGGAAGAGGCCTGGGGACGTGCTCGGCGCTGGGAAGCTCGGAGGGATCGGGGGCGGGGGGGGAGGCGGCACAGAGAGTGGCTGCACTGGGACCGGGGGCCTGGGAGTGGTCCCTCTGTCCCCGCCCCGCTGAGCCCCCCTCCACCTGATCCCCACTGTCCGGGGTGGGGAAGTGTCTGGTGTGTCTCTGGCAGGTGGGACTGCTGGCTGTGTGGCTGTGGATGAGTTTCTTGACCTCTCTGGGCTTTGCTATCGGTGTAGGGACAGCTAATCATTAGGGCCAGAGCTAGAGTGGCCTGCAGGTTTGCGGCGCAGCATCTCCTGGAAACGTTAGAAACGCAAACTCTCAAGCTCCGCCCGCCCTGAGCTGCTGAACAGCAATCACTACACCCTGCAGAAGTTGAGAAACCCAGTCCGGGCCTCTACCGGGCCCAGAGCGGGTGCGCGCGGGATGCCTTTGGGGCAGCTGGGAGGGGCCAAAGAGGGACCTGCCGCCTCCTGCTGCGATCCCCTCCCTTCCTGTCCCTCCCCCCAGGGGCCTGAAGCTGGGTTAGGGCACTAGGGTTTCTCACAATGAGACCAGCCGCCCCTTGGGTCTGAGAAGCCATAGGAGGTCAGTCTGGATCCAGAGCCGTGTCCGCAGTGGACAGCTGGAGGCCGGAAGAAGGGAACAGGGGACCCTGGAGTCCTGGCTGTCTGTCCATCTCCTACCAGTCCCTCTACCCCAGCCAGATGGGATGATGGCCTTGAACTTAATGATCAGTCCCCAGTGTGGCCATACTTAATAATTTTGCAATGAGCTACAGGTCTGTGTGGCTTCTGTCTCTGTCTCTCTTGGTCTTTCTGTCTTGCCTCTGTTCCTCTCTGACTTTCTGTCTCTGCCTCTGTTTCTTTGTCTGCATCTTCTCTCTCTCTGTCTCTCTCTCTCTCTCGCTCTGTCTCTGTTTCTCTGACTCTGTCTCTGTTTCTTTGTCTGCATCTTCTCTCTGTCTCTCTCGCTCTGTCTGTTTCTCTGACTCTTTCTTTGTCTGTATCTTCTCTCTCTCTCATTTTTCTCTCTCAGAATCTCAATCTTTCTGTGTCTTTCTCTGTCTATCCATTTATCTGTCTCTGTCTCCGTTTCTCTGTGTTCTTCTGCCTCTGTCCGTCTGTCTCTGTGTCTATCCATTTGTCTGTCTCCATTTCTCTCTGTGGTCTCTCTGTTCCTCTATCTCTGCCTCTTTCATCTCTGTCTCTTTCCATCTCTATCTTTCTCTGTCTCTTTCTCTGAATCCTCCCCTGAGCTTCCCCATCTTCCTTCCTAAGTCTCCCCAGAACTGGAATTTCAGATGTGGGCCACCATACCCAGCTTGGTGACTACAAAGCCCGTTGGCATAAAGGCCTTCCTCACCGTTGTGCCTCAAACATCCTGGCATGTCTGCCCTGGCCCTGTGTAGGGTTCGCTGGATTCCATGGCTCATGCTGCCCCTTGGCAGGACTGTGGACTGCTTTTAGCTAAAGTTCACACCCATTTCCAACCCTCCTGGTTGGTGTTTTCACTTAACTTTGAGTACAGGTGTCAATCCCCACCCCCAAGGCCTGAGTACCCATCCCATCCCAGCAGGTTCTCAGTGCCTGCCCCCCCCCCCAACAGCCCAGGGGGATAGGAATTCAAGATGGAAGCTCAGAGGCCACTAGGGTCCCATCAACATAATGACTCAACCTGAGTGGTTGTGAGGACTTTCACATCCTGCCCTGCCTCACAAAAGCCCTGGGAGCCAGACAGCTGTGGGAGCTGTGGGAGGAAGTTTCCCCACTTCACAGCTGAGGGAGCTGAGGCTCAAAGGAGCCATGTGCCCAAAGTCAGAGAGCCATCTCCTAGGGTGACGGCGCGATAGAAGCTGCTGTCATCACATGCCGTCTAGGTCCCTGCCTTTTGCAAAGAACAGAGCAGGTGCTGAGGAGCATGAATGAGTGTCAGCTGAGAACCAGGCCAGGGCTAAGCTTAGCTGCAGCAGCAGAGCCTTCCCTGGCTCCAATAGAGACAGGAAGGCTTCTTGGGTGGAGAGGTTTGGCAGAAGTTCCCCAATCAAGGCCAAGAGAGGACTGTTAAATGGAGGCTGAGCCTCAGAAACCCAGCGTGCAGGGCTTGTCTAGAGTGAGGTGACCAGCAGCAGGAAAGGTGACAGGCACCTTTAATGAGAACTCCCTTGACTTGGGATAGGATCTGGCCTCTAAACATTTCCAGAGCCTCCAGCTCTTAGCTGAGTGTCTGCTAAGCTCTATGGCCTATGGCCTTAGATGGCCAGTGACTCTAGATCTCACTGAGAGGCCCAGCCTGGAGCTAAGTCTTTGGACACGTTGCCATCCTGGGAATAGGGGTTGGGGATGTAGCTCAGAGGGTAGAGTGATTGTCTATCGTGCACAAAGCCCTGGGTTGGATCCCCAGCACTGCATGAGCTGGGAATGGAGATGCACATCTGTAATCCCAGCACTTGGAAGGTAGAAGCAGGAGAATCAGAAGTTTAAGGTCATCCTCAGCTACATAGTGAGCTCAAGGCCAGCCTGAGCTAAATGAGATCATGACTTTAAAAACATAAGCAAAGGGCTGGAGAAAGGGCTCAGTGGTTAAGTGCACTGACTGCTCTTACAGAGGACCTGGGTTCAGTTCCCAACACCCACATGGCAGCTAACAATCATCCATAACTCCAGTTCCAGGGGATCCAACACCCTCTTCTGGCCTCCGCAGGCATTGTATAACACGGGTGCACTTACATACATGCAGGCAATATACTCAGACAGATAAAATAAAAATAATAAAATATTTAAAATATTTTTTAAAAGCTACCAGGCATGGCGGTACACATCTTTAATCCCAGCACTCTGGAGGCAGAGGCAGGCAGATCTCTGTGAGTTCAAGGCCAGCCTGGTCTACATGGCAAGTTCCAGGCCAGCTGGGGCTACAGAGAGACCCTGTCTCAAAAAAAAAAGGCAGTTGGGTGCGGTGGTGTATGCGTTTAATCCCAGCACAGAAGCAGGTGGATCTCTGTGAGTTTGAGGCCAGCCATAGAGAATCCAGTCCAGCTGTGACTACAGGAAGACCCTGTCTCAAAAAGACCAAAAAAAAGAAAAAAAAAAAAAAAACCCTGGGGACAATAAATAATGGGGTCCATTTCAGTCTAGGAGGTCAGCGCCAAGGACCCTCAGGATCATGTGCTCATTCCTGAACATTTCTTGACAGACGTTACATCCTTCAGAAGGGCTAGGGAAAAAGCCAAGTAGAGGGTGGAGGCCAAGGGAATAAGGTTCTGTGGGCCAGCCTGAGGGGACCATGGGGCAGGGAGAGCCCCCCAGCACCACTAGGTGACTGCCCCTCCCACAGAGGCAGCTGGGGTCAGTCTCTTTGCATGGCATTTAGTGGTGCAGGCAGGGCAGAATTGCAGGGCTGGGATCCTCCCCATTCCCAGAGCTCTAGCTACAGTGCCACAGGCCCCACTAAGGACTCCAGGCCTCTACCTCTGCTGACAAAGCTGGACCTCAGGCAGCAGGTGTTCAGAGTCAGCCTAGAAGTGGTCATTCCTGGGGACCTGCACGTGGGGGAGGGCAGAGAGGAGGAAGGCAGGAATGAATGACATTGAAGAGGCTAGCCTGGGCAAACAGAATCCTGAACTAGAACTGCTGGCCCTTGAGGGTGCAGGCTTTAGACCTAAGCTCATGTAGTCTTTTGTGTGTGTGTGTGTGTGTATGTATGGGCATGTAGACATCAGAGAACTCTTTAAATTTGTCCTCTGACATTCATACTTACACCTTGGCCAGCTGTGGTGTCACATGTCTTTAATCCCAGTACTCAGAAGGCAGATATAGGCAGATCTCTGTGAGTTCAGGGACAGCCTGGTCTACACACCAAGTTCCAGGACAGCCAAAGCTGCATAGTAAGACTCTGTCTCCAAAAAGTATCTTTAAAAATATGTAGTAGGGACCTGTGAGGTGGCTCAGCAGGTAAAGGCACTTTCCACTAAGCCTGATGACCTGAGTTTGATCTCCAGTTTCCACATGATGGAAGGAGAGACCAGCTCCCAAGAGTTGTTTACTGATCACTCACACACACACACACACACACGAGTGGCACATCTGTGCCCCTCTCCACACACACAATCAGTGTAACTTCTAAAAGACAGGCCATGCCTGTTTGCATCCCCACTAGCCGTATAAAAGGATCCCCTCCCTCTCATCCTCACCAGCATTTTGTTGTCATTTGTTCTCTTTTTAAATTTATTTCTTTTCATTCATGTGTATGTGTGTGTGTGCCTGCTTGTCTGTATGTGCACCATGTATGTGCAGGTGCCCAAGGAGGCCAGAAGCATTGGACCCCCTGAGCAGCCCAACATGGGTGCGGGAACTGAACCAAGGGTAAAAAGTGCTTGTAACCTCTGAGCCATCTGCAGTCCCATATTTGAATGGGTGAGATAGAATCTCAGGGTATTTGCATTTCCTGATGGCTGAGGACACTGGGCCTGTCTTCATATTGTGGTGGGGGGGTTAATATTTTATTTATTATTTTTATTTTGCATGTATGAGTGTATTGCCTGCATGTGTGTAAGTGTATCTGTGTTGTCCAGTGGCTGCGGAGGTCAGCTGAGGGTGTTGGATCCCCTGGAACTGGAGTTAGGGATGGTGGTTAGCCACCATGTGGGTGCTGGGAATCGAACCCAGGTCCTCTGCAAGCACAGCCAGTGCTCTTAACTGCTGAGCCATCTCTCCAGCCCCTTTTCTTCATATTTTTCTTGGCCATTTGAATTTCTTCTTTTGAGAATTGTCCAATTCACTTGCCCCTACTGTGGATTTTTGGTGTTTAACTTATTTTGAGTGTGTGTGTTAAGACTCGTCATTTTGTAATGATTTTTTTTCTTTTTTTTTTTTTAAAAAAGGCTTTGAGACAGGGTCTCCCTGTAGCCCCAGCTGTCCTGATTAAAGGCATGCACTACCACACCCAGCTACAATGATT